AATATGAGGGTTGGTCAAACTGGAAATGGAATAGGAGGAGAAAGTACAACAAATGGAAGATCTTCAACTAATACTAACGGCAATGTGCAATCTTCAACTAATGGTCAATTTTCGACTAATAATGGTCTGCAAGGAACTCGAAGACGTGAGATCGTCAGGCTAATGGTGCAAGCAATGCAAGATATGGGTTATAAGTATGTTGTTATTCTTTTGAATTTTCGAATTTTTAAAAACTACTATATTTTGTTGAAATCCTTCCAATTTTTATTAAAACTCCAAAATGTTGCTTAGTCAAGCCGCCACAACCTTAGAAAATGAGTCTGGTTTCCCACTTGAAAGTAAAGATGTTGCAAGATTTAAAGATGGTGTTTTAAATGGTGACTGGGCTTTAGTAGAAAGTCTTCTTCCAATTTTAGAATTGGATAATAGTAAAGATGCTGTGGTAATTAAATAATTAATAATACATACAGATTACAATTTAATGATTGATTTAATAATATAATAAATACTATTATCATAATTGTCATTATTGTTTATAGAATTTTACAAAAAATTATTTTTTCTTTTAGGTTGTAAAATTTTTGATTCGAGAACAAAAATTTTTTGAATTATTAGAATCTAGTCAGTTAAAAAAAGCTCTGCACGTATTAAGAACTGAACTTACACCACTTGATTTTAATTTGGACAGGGTTCATGTTTTATCTAGGTATTTGTAGTCAGTCAATTTATTAATCTGTTATTTTATTTTTTCTAAAAAAAATTCAATCAACACATCTATTTCTTTCAACTTGAAATGTAGTTACATTATGTATTCAAATGCTGAAGATTTAAGATTTCATTCTGAATGGGATGGTGCTAAAGGAACATCGCGTCAAAAATTATTGCTAGAACTTCAAAGTATGAGTTAATCAATCATAATTAACAAATTAAAAATTCCTTTTTATATATGCGAAGATAAGGAGATGATTAATACCTGCTCGCCCTATATATATATATATATATATTTATATTTATTTATACAAAAAAATGCTAACCATGATATAAAGGATGAAGCCAATAT